CGGACCCGGGCGAGGAAAATGGGGGGGAAAACAAAACAAAACAAAAAATCAGCCACCCGATCAGGGTTGGAGGCAGAGAAGAGCGTGCACCTGCTCCCGGGAGGCACAAAGAAGCGCTACCTGGTCCTCACAAGGGACACTGCTGGGCTCAGTTTGAGTTTTCGGAAGGGAAGTACAGAAAACGCTCGTTTTACCCTGAGCGCGTTTGGTCCTGCATGGGGTAAAAGCGGGCAGGGAGAGGTGCCGGTGCCGCGGCCGGGCAGTGCCCCCCGGCCCAGCCCCCCCGCCCGGGCAGTAAAATAATAATAATAAAAAAAAATAGAGTCGATCACTCGTTCCACACGTAAATTACCACTTGCTGTGGTAAACGCCAAAACTCAGCAGTGTCTTTCTTGAGGGTTGTTTGGGGATGTTTTCTTACATTGAAAACAAAAATACTATTTCTTAAAAGTTAAATTCAGAATACCCATGGAACAGCCGTGTTTGAAAAACATTCACCAAACACATCAGGACCAACTAACTTCAGCACACTGCTCCTGGCCTTCTCTGATTGCTGCCATACTTGAAGTTCCACTGGCTTCCCTTCAAAATATGTTAATCTGCAAACATTTACAGAAGGCAGCAATTCCCCAGTGGCAGCATATAAAGTTTAAATTGTTTAAGTAAATATATGAACATAAATTGCAAATAATACTTTGTAATTAAGTGAAAACTATGAAAGAAAACCAAACAAAAACCCCCCTAAACCACGGAATATCCTGCTTTTGTGTAGGCCTCCAGTTTACAGAAAAACCACAAACAACAACCACCAAAACCCAAAAACAAAAACACACCCAAAAATCCCACAGAGAAAAAGCAGCTTAACTTTCCATACAAAATAAAGTGCAATTTATGCATAATCCTTTTCCCCCAGCCAGTAACTGGCACTTACAAGCAAGCCTCTAAAAATAAATTATTGTAAAGCTTTAGCTGCATAGTACAAGCACAAAATTTACTTTCTTCTAAAATGTGCTCATGTAAATAATGATAACTCTGATTCTGGAGTTGTTCAACGTGAGTTGAAAACCTTCTTGTCATGGAAAATATGCAGCTGATACTTAGAAAGGTTTTCCTGTAATTAACTCCCCCTTGAGGATTTTAAGTTAGCAGCAGTAAAATTACCAACAGTATACTAATATACACCACATGCACTGTTACTCAGTGGCTGACTAGCATTCTCTTGAAGATCAAAAAAAGTCAAATAGAAAAAAAAAATCCCAGGAATAAAGTCAAAGATAATATTTTCTCTTTTTTTTATGTAGGCGAACCACATTGTTGTATCAAAAACGCTGCATGTATTTGCCATTTTTGTTTCCTTCACTACAATCTGTTTTATACTGAAGATGCTATCGCAAACCAGCCTTCTACCTATTGTAATTTAAATTGCATTGAGAGCCAAGGTCATACATAGCATAACTTGTCCAAAATACTAGTGTGTCCTTCAGTCTTTCTTCTCATCTAGCATTCAGAAAAAATGAGATCAGACCAGCAACTTCTAAGCCAAAGATGACTGAAGAAAGGCACACTTTGTGCCTCATCTTCATTACTTATTCAGATTTTATTTCTGTCCCCAACTATTATACTGATTCAAAAGCATACATCTTATGTAACTGCCTTTTTCAATTAAATACTTTAGACTGCAAGTTACTTTAATCTATTGTTGTAAATTGTTGCCATTTCTTTGCATATGATGTTAGTTACCCACATTTCCTGACACGCATCAAACATGTATACACACAGGCACAAGAAGATGCAGAGCCTGTCTACACATCTGCAGATCCTTGCTACTGGAAGGCAGTAAGACATCACACACTCCAAACCAGAAACTGCTTTTCATGTGCTGAGAGTTGAATCAAGCACTACACAAGCAACCAGCACACACATGCTCACATCTGAATAGAACCTAATATATTCCATACGGATTCACACATTTTCTGTAGATAAAGCCACTTACGTAGATAGGCCATGGTCTGCTTCTCTTTCTATATTTACTGATTAGATATACCTATGATGGATTATGACATGTGACATGTTAGGTTCTCATGCATGCTTATGGATATATTGCACTGGATTTTGTATTTCAGGTCCCAAACCCTGCTCTGTCATCTGCAAACCCAGACTGTTCTCTGCCAGACCTGACTGCTCTTGATGTGACTGGAGCTGCTGGCTCCAACCCTGCAGATCTAAGCACACATTCACATGCACCTTTTCAAGATCAAGACCTCAAGGCGTGGCCTCTGTATTGTGCAGGACATAACAGCCCACTGGCAGAGCAGTTACCTAGCCCAGCAGTTTCATTCTTATAATTCACTAGTATAATTCCACACAATCCTTCTCAAATTGCTCTCTGTAAGACCCAGTTTCTTCAAGCAGCTTTTTGCGAACACATCTCTGCATCTGCAGAGTCTTACTTATTCCAGTTAAACCTCTGGAGCACTTGGGTGTAAAAAAAATAGTTTAGCTAATGTTTCTGAACAAGCTGAAAGCATTCATAGAATGACAGATTATTTTAAACTGTTTGTCTGCAGCTTAATCTTACATGTGAAATACAATTTAAAAAAAAACCCATTAGGAAAGTATCAGAGAGCAAGATACATAAGACAGTTACTATTACTTTTTTTTTTTTTTTTTTCTTCTTTTTTATGTCTGGTAAATATGTCAGGAAAGGTGATTCAGTGAAAAGATGCATTAAAAAAACATCTTACTATTTATTTTTTTTTTAAAGGGCTCTCAGAAACCTCCCTCTAGTCATCTCGTTTGCTTAAAAAGGTAACAATGGAAAAAAAAAATTATAACTTTTATATCGGAGCTTTTAAACTCCTTTTTAATTCCTTGAGTCAATTGCAATACTATAGGTGATCACCTACTTGTCCCTTGCAGTCACAAATCTCTGAACTCTGCCTATTGCCTTGATGAAAATGCCACAGACTGTTTTAAGCCCCCTTTTCCCCAGTTTTTAACATGTGTCAGTAAAAAAATAATTTAAAAAATCAGTTCTTAAAAATCTTGATAAGGTTTCCTAACAGCTGAAGATTCCCTCACAAGCTATTTTAATTGGGGGTCAATCTTAATATACCAACAGGTTTAAAAAGTACTCAATGTTTGTACTTGCACACCTATATAACTATTTTTGTTTCATTTCTAAACAATGAATGAAAGGAAGAACAGAAAAGAATTAACTCTTTCCATCCCAAATTTCTTCTATCAAACCACCTTCACCTCTCTTTCCTTCTCCCACAACACACTACTAGACTGACTTTTATAAATAGCCATTTTGGAAGGATTTTTTTTTTCTCCTTTGAAAAATTACCTAAAGCCTTTTTCTTTTTTTTTCCCAAGCAAGTTAATGTGAACTTGGGAATGGCAATTAAATTGTCAGAATTAAAAAATTTGTTTTTAACTAGAAGGTAGCCAGAAGTGTAGTCATGGGGCTGGTATTGATTGTCTGAACAGAGAGCATTAGTCTTCAGGTATTTATTCTGCCACCTCTGCACCAGAGGTTCTCCTTCAAATCAAATCAATCCCTGGGAAAGATTGGTTCTTGCTACTAAGACACATAACTAGGCTGCCACAGAGCTCACCATTGTTGTTGTTCTCTCTGGGTTTTACTGAACAATATCTCAGCTTCTGATTGTTCCTGAATAATTTTCACAGTTGTAAATTGTGATCTTTCCCAGGCAGTGAGCTCACTGGGGTAGAGAATACATTTGGCTTTATTTGAAAAACATCAAGAAGCTGATAATTTTTATCTACTAAAGAAAAGTGTGCTCAAATCCATGCTTTCAAGCATGGTTACTGCAAGAGTACTTTTCCATTATTTATGCATTATTTTCCCCAGTCTCCTTTTGGCAAAATCCCATATGCCCAATTTCAGGTTTGGGGTTTGCTCTGTTTTGTTTAGAAAAAAGCTTAAATAGACAGTAAGTACCTTTTTGTTCATTACTTTAAAAGGCTTTTACTTCAGCAACATGTAAAATAGAATAATTAATTATACATTACTGATACGCAATAAAACATCAGAGCAAATATGCTGCAAATTCTAAGGATATCCACATGATGAAAACAGGGCCTGAAAGTCCAGTTCCAAAAATCTGAAAATAATTAGATTTTCTGACCTGAGATTGGTTAGTATCAAAAGTTTATAAACAGAATTCAGAAACAAACAGACCAAGTGGCTTGATCCCATTGACCCTTTTGACAATTGTTACCTCCTGAGATTTAAAGAAAAAAAAACAAACAAACACAAAAAAAACCCAAAAGCACTACATGAAAATACCCAACAACCTTTGTATTCCTACATATTATATATAGCTTCTAGTTGAACCCGAATTTGTACTTCGGTCATGTATTTTGCACCTTGCCAGTGGAAGCTCTTGGAACAAGACAGTGAGATAGGGAGGCACACTCAGGCAGGCAGTAATTATCTCTATTTGCAGAATCACATTAAACAATGACTTAAGGTAAACTAGAATATTCACCGGATAGATAAAAGAAATAGAATGGCATCAGATAACAAAGGCAGTATGCAATTAAATTCTGAACAAAACATTTCAAAATGTAAATATAATAAAGCCTGTTAAGGAAGTAAAGTTCTGAACAGACAGGCAGCCAGAAAACAATTAGCTCCACTAAAATTACCAGGGCTAGGTACCAGTTATGCCTATTGGCTGCCTGTGAAACAGGGCTCCTTTTACTTGATCTTCTTTTGTATTGACAAAAATTGTAATCCTGTTAATTAAGAATGGAGTATGAGCCATAGCCCTTGAAATATAGCACAGAATAGTGAAAATATCACATCACAATGAAAGATAAGTAAATGTATCAGTGCATGTTTACTTAATGAAGAATTAGTTACACAAATGCAGCTAGAATTTCTAAACAACTTTGCTGAAAAAATATTTTTCAGTATACTGATCAGCAACATTAAGATTCAATACAAAAATATGAGTAGAATACATAAAACTGTTACAAGATCTATTGAATTCTAAGTAAACGAATATTAAAGGGGGGCAGTTGTTTCTTCATGGAGTATTAAACAGAAAGAAACCCTGTGCCCTTAAAGTCCATGGCATACAAACAACACACAGTATTAAGAACAACAAGCCCGAAAGCAAAAAGTGGGTTAATTAATTCTACATCTTGTTCCTCTTTCTATAGTCAAAGAGGTAGGGCTCTACGAACATTGCTTTCAGATCACTTTATTGACTATTCTCTCTGCAGTCATTTATTTTAGAGGACTGATGTCACATTTGGCATTATATCAGCTGACATATTGTGGACATTTTCTCTCAGAAATGGCTCCTTAAGGCTGAGTGCAAGAGGTTAAGATGCCTGATGGAAACTAACTTTATGACAGTGATGTTCTATATTCATACAACAGGCTTAATAATTTTAAATTAGCATAAAGCTTATGCCTTCCTATATGTGTGGGTGTACATGTGCATATATTTATGCAGTAATTCACAGGCTAAAAAAAGAAAAAAAACCAACTACATTTCAATTATTCTATTCCATGACACACACCTTCAAGGTGAAGAGTACTCAGCTTTAATTATAATATGCAAACTGGTTTTAAATATAAGAAAGATTTTTCTGCCTTAACAATGCATCTTCATTAGATCACAAAGACAAAATTCTAGACCAGAATCCAAAGTTCACTAGATTTGGGATGTTTTTTTGTTTGTCTCTTTGGTATATTACAGAATTCTAAAGCTGATCATTGTATTAGTTTTGTAAATTCATTCCACCAGAATGGACCTAGCAGCATGTAGCTGAGTGATCTCTGATAATAAAATGGGGGGGGGGGGGGGGGAGGGGAACTATTTGTTACTATTTATTCCACATAAAATTATCAAGGAAAAGCTCGAGGACTTAAACATAAGCAAAGGTCTAAATAGGGCTTAGCTTGAGAAGTTTTGTCTTTCTATCTGTACCAAGAGGCAGATATGTGCTAAGGGTAACTGAAATAATTGCTGTGGATTTCTGAACAGGAAAGATCTTATTCAGAAGTTACCAAAGCATAAATAGGTAAATTACTGCAAGAAAGCATGTCCAGGGTTTAATGGCAAAATTGCATCTACTTTTCTTCTGCTTAGTGAGAACTGTATTTGTAATCACTGTATGCAAAGTATGCACAACGTGCCAGCTCAACTAAGGTGTAATGACAAGGCTTAACAAACATCAGCATTGCTTATATGAAGTAACGGTCAGTTTATCTTTGTATTGACCGTGTCTGAAACGCGGTGACTAAAGCCTTTGGCATTTGGGACAATTTTCCTAGCATTGCACAGGAACGAAGCTCTAGCCTTCACTGCCATGTACTGTAACCTGCTGCTGTTGGCAAGAAGCAGATTTTACACTGACCATGTTCTCCGGCTGCTTTTAGTGTCGCTTCAGGATGTGTCGATCCAAGGGGGTTACGCACAAATCGTCGCCGGCGCCGCAAGTCATCTTCCCAGTAGTCAAGGCGCCAGAACTCACGAGGACGACTACAATGAAACAGAGGAGCCACATATGTTAGCAATTATCAAACAGCATGGTAGCGCTGAATTTCTGCATAAAGCTCTCCTTGTTTGCTCTCCTTTTACCTTTTTTTTTTTTAACCTCCCCCCTTTCTGCAATCTTTTACTTAGGTATGTCCTTGAAAATAACAATATCACCTTCCAGTCTAAGGAACTCCTTTCCCTTTTTTCTTGGAAGGTGAAATGAGCACTAAATACATCATTTTGAAATGAATTGCTGACAGTGTGATCAGTTTCCCCACACTCTAGTGGCATGTGCTCCGATTTCAGCCTCATTTCAGCCTCAGCAGGGCACCTTTCTCAGTGACTGCATTTATAAACCAGAATAGGGAAAAGGCTATTATAAATATGGTATAGCATTACCTATATTAATCAAAGTCTGTCCCCCTTCATTTTTCTTCCTAATTTGTGCCTTTTTGCACAAGGTCAGTAAATCATATCATGAATTCTTGGTCCAGAAAGTGTTAACTTTAATGAATACCTCAGTTACATGGTTATGTATGTGATAATAAAATATTACTCTGTTTAGATGTGCAGGAATTTAATTAAAATAATCTCTTAAAATATTCATTACATTTAGCCCCTGAGGCTTAGAACAACACAAGAAAATGCATTTCTTCTCCATTTACTGTTTTTAAATAAACCATTCCAGGAGAGTGAAACAGTAATCTATTTTCGGGCAAATCAGATTGGATTTCTGGTTTATGTAGTTGTGTTTTTACATTTAATTAAAAACTACATGTTATGATGTGTAATAATTTCTATATTGAAGGCATACTTTTAAAAAATTACACCTAGAAAAAGCGTATATCAAATTCATTATTTTCCATTGTATGCTCCAAATATACGTAGATCTTTTTAATATGGTCATATATAAGTGCCAGTTACTATCTTGTTAGATGATCATGACTGGATGCCACTGTAAAACACTGTTTTAGCCAAGAGAATGTACAAAGCCTGCCAATTTCAGGTATAACTAATAAACAAACAGAAAATGCCTGAAGCATAGAATAGTCATGATAGCCAAAAAACCTGTAATCCCAGATTAAAAAACACTGATTTTGTTTGTTAACATAGCTAGTATTAAAACAATAGATGAAAATGCGTATATATTCCATTTCTGGTCCAGGAACTAATAGAAAACATAACTGTCAACAATGACAAACGAATAACCACAACTAATGTAGAGATCGCAATGTCAAAAATACTTAGTATCAAAATTCTTAGTTTGGAGGTCTAAAGGCAGAAATCAGTTTTATTTAAGGTCAATCAGGGTTTCAAACCAACATGATAACAAAAGCCAGACTAATTTGCATAACCCTACTCTCAAACACAATTTGTAGACATTAAAAATTGAGACTAAAAATAATCTTATAAAAATGGAGAACATCTTTGTATTTACCTTCATTAAAATTCTATACCTTTTCCTAACACCAAAGAAGGTGCAGTGCTATTCTTCATCATCTGATTTCTTACTTTCAGGAAAACACTGAAGTATTGGAACCAAATGCCTCATTATCTTATTTTCACACTTTGTGCGTGCTCCTATCATGCTAAAATTTGAATGCTTTGATTACAAAATGCAACGGTGTTTGAATAATTAACTAAACAAAAAATTAAACCACAAGAAGACACAGGTTTATTCAAAGGTCAATTAATAACTTAAAATTCTCCATTAGTGATTATAAAAAGGCAAAACACAGCTGGCTATGTGCATGCTTTTGATAGTCATAGAGCATGGATAGGCACTTCATCATTCTGCCTTCCTACATTTATCTGTTAAAATTATTATCAAATATCAGCCAGGATGCAGTCGTGAATCACAGACTGTTCCTCGTCTTCAGGGGAATGATACAATGAGGGTCTATTCATCAGTATGGCAATCGGCACAAGTAATTAGTTCCCTAGACTGAGATCTCCTACAAAGCTTATTTCAGTCTGCACCACAAACATATGACAATGAAAAGCTAATGGAAGCTGCTAAAATTTGTTAACCTCTTCTGCCATCAATCCTTCTGGTATTCTGTGCTGCAGTATTATGCAAAGATGGTAAATTATTAATTTCTCATTCATCTATCTTTCTACAGTTTTGATAGAATTAAGTGATGCCATTCTTCTGGGTAACAATTACAATTACACTACATTACAAAACTATACTAAAATTATTAGGAAAAATAGGTAACAATGATCAGGCGTGAAGTATTATCCTGAAACATAATGTATCTTTAGTCCCATTTTCTTAAGCATACGAAATTTGCATAGGATTCTGTCTCCTTCACCAGAGCTTTGATTCACAAACAACATTTTAACTATCAGATTGTCTTTTAAGGTATTTATAACTATCTGAGGTTAGAAAAAAAATCCACTCTCTATACATAGCAAAATAACCAACAAATACCTGCACAGCCCAAAATAAACACCCATGTTGCTGTCCAATTCTTACAAATTAGTAATTTTTGAGAGCAGCTACTGGGACAAATGCATATTAGTCCTAATATAAGCCAGTATACTTTATGGCTACTTTGGAACAATGAGCTTACTAGCAAGATCAATTAACCACTGCAGTCCCATCCCCAAAAGGCATTGCTGTACCATGCAGACTTTGTGCCTCTGCAGCCAGGGGGAGACACCCATAGATACTGCTCTGATTTGGGCAGAATTGACTGATGAAGGACTGAAGTATTCTCATAGAATCATTAAGGTTGGAAGGGACCTTAAAGATCATCAAGTATCCAACCCCCCTGCCATGAGCAGGGAACCCTACCACTAGACCAGGTTGCACAAAACCTCATCCAACCTGGCCTTAAAAACCTCCAGAAATGGGCATCAACAACCTCCCTGGGCAACCCATTCCAGTTCCTCACCACCCTTGTAGTGAAGAATTTCTTCCCAATATCTAACCTAAATCTCCTCTCTCGCAGTTTAAAACCATTACCCCTTGTACCAGCACTATCTTCTCTGATGAAAGCCCCTCCTCACCTTTCCTGTAGGGCCAAGTGAACAGATTTTAGGAACAGCATAGTGCAATCAACTACAGGGGACACTTGACAAGAGTATCTGGCTCTACAATAAAGGCTGCCATATGGACTGAAGGTGCTATATGGACTGGATCAATGAACATAAGTACTCAATTAGTATAAGTGCAAGAGCAACATTTCTCAGGGGCCTGGGGATTTATGAATTATAAATCATATGATTTGCATGGATTTGTCAGGGCCCCATCTAACATGATACACACCGATTAGTGGTTCCTTGGTAACAATATTGACTGAATAGAAACAAAGCTTTGATACTAAATGTTTTATTCAGATAGCATAACCATTATATTGCTTTATTTTTCAAACAGTTCCCCCAAATTACCAGACTATGTACTCAGAATTGAGATAAAACCTCTCTCTTAATTCCCATGTAACTAACTAGACTTTGTACAAATTGTACAAACACAAGATGAAATACAGGATGACCAATACAACCTATATTCTCAGGACTTAGAGCATGTCATGCAAAAGAAAAAGTCCATTCACTATGGTCAAAGGAAAAAAAAAAAAAAAAAGCAGCTCACATATCTTCATTCCAGGAATAAAAAGCCTATTTTTTCTACTGGTTTCAAAGAATAGCACAATTGGAAATAAAACATACCGAATGGTGTATTAGTTTTATTAGGGTGTTATATCAAAGAAATTTCAGGAGTGGGAATTAGGTATTAGTCCTCATACCCTGTAGGAGATTTAAATTGAATCAAGCAGCACAACCAGAAAATGATGTGAGGATCATGTATTTGCTGAAGAATTACATCTTGTAATGCCTTATCCATAGTGTATATCAAGATACTCTGTTACCTATACCACCACAGAAAAGAAGCAGTCAGCACACTAGAGTGGATAGAAAAGGGACTTTGCAAGGTGGGGAAGAGAAAAGAAAATATAAACCTACAAAAGCAATAGTTTGAAGGTCTTAAGGCTATATTTGGGCCACTAGTTAATGGAGAATGGATTTTAGCACAACACAGAAACACCCATTCGGATCCTTAGCTTAGTGAAGTACTAAATAAATAAACACAGCACAGAAAAAAAGAAACAAAGAAAAGGAAATAAAGGTGAAAGCAGCATGGTGTTATAGCAATCATCTGCAGAAACAGAGAACGACTAGAGCTCTAAATGACCTCTTCTATCTAAAAGGCTATCTAGCCTTAAAGGCAAGAAAACCCACTCACAAAACAGACAATTGCAACAAATTTGAAAGCAGATGGAAACTAGAGTGTGTATGCCTTAGAAAAAAAACGTGTTATGAAGACTCAGCCTAACAGAGTCTGCTATTAGTCTTTGCACAGTCTACTATTTAAAGAAAAACAGTCCTTCCTCAGCCGTATGGCAATTATGTACATTAAGCACCCATGTAAAACATCAGTCAACATGAATTTTGTGCTGCTAGAAATTACTGCAGTGACACATCTGGAAAGAGAGGCTGTTTCCAGGCCACAGAACAAGAACACGGGTGGTGATCATGACATAAGCACAATGCCTCGTTCACATGCTCTAAACCTATGTGAAGATACCAAGATAAATTTCCAGATGACATACTCCTCATTGGAACTCTAACTATGGAGTTAAGCAGGTAAGTCAATCTCCAAACCTAATCAATCCTTGGTCTCTCCACTAAGACCATCAGCAAGGCAATCAATCAGTGATGGCAATTTCTAACGTGCAAATGCTCAAACATGGAGAACCGGACTAAATGAGCTTCAGATACAACCAAACACAGAGCGACAATAGCACTTACTTACCAGTAACAAAAATATAGATATGAAAGGAAACCTGGAAGAAGGCAGCTCTACAATTTCTCTGTCACTGATGGCAAGCATATCACAACTCCTGGTTTTAATTTATTCAGCATTTTGGTTGCAGTGGCTCATCAAATGCACAATATTGGGTGCTACTTCTAAATTACAAAGAAGAGCAATCATAGAA